CCATCGGATTTTTATGAAATAAGTTGATATTTTATTATTTAACCTAAAAACAGCCCAAAATTTATCTAATAGAAATCAAAATCCTTTACTCAAAATCTTCATTTTTGGATAGATTATAAATTCTGTTCCAAGTATTTTTTTTGGGGTTCACAAGACTCTAAAAATAGGAACCTTCCAAAAGTCATTTTATGCCCAACTTGTCACATCATTTAAAAATAATGAGCTCAACCGACTATTTYCAAATACCAAGAAGTTTGAGTGGGTTTTAAATTCCTCATCATTACCCTGCAACCTTGAGTTACACAGCCCCCGAAACAGATTGCACGCTCACCGAGTGGCAGTCATTTGGGATCGAACTCATCATTTTCCAAGTTTTAACACCATTTTCAAGCTAGAGAAATAAATTTAAATCTCCAGGGAAGAATCTTTCCCGATTCCTTTGAGTTTTTGATAAAGATAGGATAGATTAAAGATGCATGCAAGATTTATCATTTCAAAACTAAATTTTACATGCTTAAACTTCACATGCAAAGAGTTTTTCTTCCCACTTTGGAGTTCAAAGAACATGGATCATAGATTATTATCCTTTTTGAAGACATTTTCATGTCTTTGATGAATAATCTCCCCTCTTTAGTTCTTCAGAAAATTTTTAACTAAAAGATCAAGATGTGGAAGAAAGAAGATGCAAACTTATGATGTTTTACAAAAGTAAAATAATTAGTATCATACCTTTTTATAATCTTGAAGAATCTTCAAGATTGAGAGAATTTCTTGCTTGAAGATGGAATCGGCTGGAGAGTGTTTGCTCTTAGAGAGAGACGAAAAGTTTTTAAGTTGGCAATGCATGGAAATGAGAGTTTTCAAAGGATGAAGGGTATTTATATGAGGATTTTTAAGGAAAGGAAATGGGATGGCCTCTAAAGGCCCAAACCCAAACAAGACTTTTACTTTCTTAATACAAATAAACCCACTATATAATTTTCCCAAACATTAATATAATAGCATTAATAAATCCAAAACTCCAACTTTTGATAAATCAAGTGGTCACTCAAWTGGGACTTTTGTATTTTAACTTAAAAGTTTATAATATCAACTTTATTTTATTAAAAGCATTTCTAAAATATTTGGCATTACACGAGTTAACTATATCTGATCTCCCACTGAGGCGTGATCTATCGAATAAAACTTGGGAGCTAAGCCAGAAGAATTCAAATCACTGAGACCAGATCCTAGAGAAATATAATTTCTAAATTTAGGATCTATAATAAAATGCTAACCTGAAACTCCGAAATGACAGAATGTCACAGTTATGATTTGTTTCCCTATATGCATAGCTATGTGAAGATCAATATGTGGATGTGYYTTGAWGTTWAATGTTATGTAGTACAAGAACATGTATTTTGGAATTTTTGGGTTGTGTATTTTGTAATATAGTTTCTTGTACTTTGGACCTTTGTGGAATTAAACATGTATTTCTCTGAATAAATTATATGTTATATGCAATGTGAGTTATAGGGTGTTACATTCAAACTAAGATTTTATCTTTGTTAATTTAAATTTTCACTTTTTTGTAGTTGTTTATACAATTGAATTTCAGAAGCGTGGGTTGCCTCATAGTCATATATGTTTATTTATGCACTTAGATTTCAAAATACCTACTATTGAACAAACTCATCCTATTATCTCAGCTGAGATCCCAGACAAAAACAAAGATCCAGATTTGTACTCACTTGTAAAAGAGTTCATGATCCATGGTCCTTGTGGTGAAGAGAACATTAACTGTCCCTGCATGATTGATAGAAAGTGTTTAAAAAACCATCCAAAAAGATTTTTTGAACACATTTCCATCGAAGTTAATGGTTATCCTTTATATCGCAGACGAAATGATAGATGTTTTGTTGAAAATTCAGGTGTTAAACTAGATAACAGAAATGTCGTTGCATATAACAAACATCTCTTGAAAATATATCAAGCGCACATTAATGTTGAGTGGTGCAATCATGCTTCTTTTATCAAATATTTGTTGAAATATATCAACAAAGGTCCGGAAGAGCTACTGTTGCTATTGTAGAAAGCAGTAATGATGAGGTTACTAATAATTCTGTTGATGAAATAAAGGAGTATTGTGACTGTAGATATGTATATGCATATGAAGCTTCATGGTGTATTTTTGGATACGATGTTCATTATAGGACTCCTTCTATTTTGAGACTTCCTTTCCATCTTCCTGGACAACAAGAAGTCGTTTTTGGTGCTGAAGATGATATTGAAAATGTCATAAACAGACCATATGTGGCGTCTTCAATGTTCTTAGCTTGGATGAAGTGTAATGAAATTTATCAAGAGGCACGAAAACTCACTGATGTTGAATTCCCTACAGAGTTTGTGTGGAAATTGGAAGAGCGATGTTGGGATTGAAGGAAAAAAGGCTTCTCAATTGGAAGAATTCATTCAGTTTCTCCTACTTTAGGAGAAGCATATTATTTAAGAATTATTTTAAATAAAGTGAAAGGTCCTAAATCATTCGAAGGTCTTCGTACAGTAAATGGAAATATATTTCCTACTTTTAGAAGTGGATGTTATGATCTTGGGCTTTTGGATGACGACAAGGAATATATTGATGCCATTGAAGAAGCAAGTTTAACATGATCTGGTTTTTATCTATGCTTCTTATTTGCAACCATGTTGATTTCAAATAGTTTGTCTAGACCAGAGTTTGTTTGGCAAAAAACATGGCATTATTTGGTAGATGACATTCTTTACAATCAACGAATTACACTAAAGTCTCCAGATATGTTAATTATCTATTATAAGTATAGATTTATATTGTTATTATTTAAATACAAAACAATTTATTCTTTTTGTTTTCTTTAAGTATTATGTTCTTTCTTAAATTGGTTTTTAGTTTTAATTTTTATGTAATGGTTGTTTACATTTACATTATAATTTTTACAAATTTATCTCTCAATGAAAAACAGGTCAAGAACCTGACATTGTTTGAAATTGAAAAGATTTTACTTCGTAACAATTCCAGCCTAAAAAAAATTCACCATTATGCCTTATCTTGATAACGATTCTCTTGAATCTTCAAACAATCGTTTGATTACGGAGGAGCTAGATTATAACATCGCAAATCTATGTGATGAGTTTCATCAACTTCTAGCTGCTCTAACAAATGAGCAAAGAGGTATTTATGACGATATCATCACAGCTGTTGAAAATAACCGAGGAGGTGTGTTTTTTGATTATGGGCATGGCGGAACAGGTAAAGCATTTCTATGGAAGACATTAGATGCCTCAATAAGATCTAAAGAATAAATTGTTTTAAACGTTGCTTCCAATGATATTGCTTCTTTACTTCTTACCGAAGGCATGACAACATACTCTCGCTTTCACATAAAGCCAGACATTGATGTTGCGAAGTAAATAAAAAAGACTACATTGATTATATGGGATGAGGCACCAATGGTTCATAGACATGCATTTGAAGCACTAGATAGAAGTATGAACGATATTTTTAATAGTCGAGGCATTAGTGACTCACAAATGCTTTTTGGTGGCAAGGTAGTTGTTTTTGGAGGAGATTTCAGACAAATTCTGCCAGTTATTCCCAACGCAAGTAGACAAGACATTGTTAATGCGTCTTTAACTTCATGTTGGAAAAAATGCAAAGTCCTAAGATTAACTAAGAACATGAGGTTAACTGTTGACGGTGTACCTTCTGAAATCGAACAGACAAGGATTCTTGTAAACTGGATTCTGAACATTGAAGAAGGCAAGGTTGGTAGTGAATGATGTTGAGGCACTTGTTGATATACCTCATGATCTTCTCATGACCAATTCAATCGATCCTATATTTGCATTAATTGAATTTGTCTATCCTTCGATTCTTGTAACTATCAAGAATTCATCTTATTTTCAGGAAAGAGCAATTCTTGCACCAAAGCATGAAGTCATTCAAGAAATAAATGACCGTTTGCTATCATTGTTCCCAGGAGACGAAAAGGAGTACCTAAGTTCAGATAGCGTATGTGAATCAGACCAACTTACATGACCAGTTTGATAAAACTTTATATTCACTTGATGTCTTAAATGGTCTTAAATTATCAGGGTTGCCAAAGCATAAGATATTAATAAAATTTGGTGTTCCAATCATGTTACTAAGGAATATTGATCAAAAATTTGGATTATGTAATGGAACTAGACTACGGGTGATATCTTTGGGAAATCAGGTTATAGAAGCAGAGATCATATCTGGAACCATTATTTGAAAACAAACATTTATTCCAAGAATGTTTTTGACACCTACAGGCAAAAAGATTCCATTCAAATTTCAAAGAAGACAATTTTCAATTGTTGTATGTTTTGCCATGACCATAAATAAAAGCCAAAGACAATCATTATCGAATGTTGGTTTATTTCTAAGACAACCAGTCTTCACCCGTGGTCAGCTATATGTAGCTTTATCTAGAGTTAAAAGCAGACAATGTTTAAAAGTATTAATTATAGATGATGATGGTATAGTTAGCAATAGAACAAAGAATGTTGTATATAAAGAAGTATTTAATAATTTATGATACATGGTTCTTATTTTATTAATATTTTACCTACTTACCATTCATTAATTTCATTTATATTCTGTTATAAATTTTGTTTTACAAGTTCTTCATATTTACTCATATTATTATTAATTCTTTATAAAATGCATACCACTTTCATTTAATTTTGTAAAATATCCAGTATAATATACGGGTTCGAATCTAATATATATATATATATATATATATATATCACATGGACATCAAACTTAGGCGCGACGCTGTTCAGCACCAACCACAAATCTCGAACGTCCGCTGTGTGTCCACAATCACTGATCAATCTTCATATTAAGCTCACATCAATGGCAGATTCATGGATAAACATTCAAGAACACTTTATGAATATTGAGAGAGAAAGTCAATCCTCTCAATTCAGTTAAACCTCTTATTACTAATCTAAATATTACAATAATGCTCTCCTCTCTAATTACAAAGATTACCTATCTATTTATATGGTCAACATATTAATACAAAGTCAAAGTCAAACTAGTCTAAGAAAGTCAAACACTCTGACTTTACAATTATAGACTAAAATTAATCTTTCAAGACGAATACAATTAATACTGATTTTTCAGTCCTAACATCCGCCCTTCTCCCTCCCTCATCCATCTCCAATCAACCCCAAGTTATCGTCCCCTGCGATCCCTGTTTGCTTTGATCCAAAATCAAACATCATGTTCTTGCTTCGTTCTAGGATTTTGGATGAATCAAAGAAGCATGAACATGAGAAAATGGAAAAATCCATCAATTTGATCTTGGATTTGATCGATTCTGCCCACCAATTTCCATTGACCGAAGAACAGCAAAAAGAAGTGAAAGATGGAATTCAAGAATCATCCCTAGTTTGTAACTCATGTATGAATGGATTTGATTAACTGGATCATGAATTAGATCACCACAACCCCCCCTGTCCCCGTCGATGTCAAGAACTGAACCATACCCCCTTGTGTCCTAGTCAATGTCACGAACAAAACAAGAAACCCCTCCCCTCGTGTGCCTTTGTTAGTTTCATGAACCAGTAACTCCCCCTTGTTTCTTGCAGTGGGACTAAGTATTTGGACAAGATTTTCAACAGACTCTTGGAGAAATAGAAGATGAAACTTTCAATAGTGAAGGGTTTTCTTCTTCAAAAAGATTTTGATTTAGGGTTTTTCTTCAACAAAGATGGGAGGGACAAAGATGGTCCCTATGTAAATGTCTTTCTCTCTCTCTCTTTCTCTTTGTGTGTGTGTGTGTGTATATATATATATATATATATATATCAAAGTTAATATGTAGTCAATTACAGTGTGATTATTTTTACAAAAATAAAATAACAATAAAAAAAAGTGCAAAAAAGGAAGACCAAATATTGTTGGACAATTTTATCTTGACTATGACGGGCATAATAGATAGAGTTAGTGACAAGGTCCCATTTTCAAAGCAAAATCCAAAACTGAAGAAAGACTTTTTGACTTATTAAAGTACATGTCGTATTTTTTAAGAAATCACTAAACTTTAGGAACAAAAATTGAAGTTCACTCTAGAATCTTTTTAACAGGATTAGAATAAGGGACCTAAAACGTTATAAAATGCATAATACAAGGATGTAATCTATAATTATTAAAGAAAAAGAGATTTGATACTTTATTTCATATATAAACTACAGAGACCAAGAATGTAACTTACTCTTACTATAAATTAATATAATATTTATTGAAAACCTGAAGAAAATATAACCCATCATCCCAAACAATTTTTATCAAACCCTTGTTCTTCCCAGCTCCTCTCTACACCAGATCTTGCTCGATTTCTTGCATGCACGAACCCAATTCAACTCAACTCGATCTCAATTTCAATTCCAATCCCAATTCGTCCAAAATAATCGTAAATAACGTATTGATTTGATCATAATATCATCATCGAATTCAAAGTAGTTATTTAAGGAAACGGGGTCTTGTATGCAGGCTATTTAGTGTTTGAGTTGATCGTATTTGTTATAAAGTAAGAGCAGATCAGAATCAGAAAATATGGAATCGAGCAGGAGAGCGGTGGAATCGTACTGGAGGTCAAGGATGATTGATGGGGCGACTTCTGACGAAGACAAAGTGACCCCTGTTTACAAGTTCGAAGAAATTTGCGAACTTCTACGTTCTTCTCACGTCTCCATCGTTAAAGAAGTTTCAGAATTCATCTTCAGACGCCTCCAACACAAATCCCCCATTGTAAAGCAAAAGGTACTGCTACCTCCTCTTCCTATGTTTCTTTTTTTATTTGATATTATACGAAATGCATGGGGAGAAGCCTTAGCTAGAATTTCTTTCTGATTTCCACGAAATTCTAGACACTAGATCCTGAGTAGAAGCGGGTAGTGCTTTTTCCCTGATTGGTCATTAACTTTAATTTTCATGCTCAACAAGATAAGTCATTGGTGGTTGCCTATCAATTACGGTAATGTTTAAAACATTTGATTTGGGGTTTAAATGGATCTCACTGGGGTGCAAATGCTGAACTTAATTATAGTACAAGCCATAGACTCGGAGATCCCAAACATTTTATAGTTTGTATAAAAAACACACAACTTTGATGTATTGGACAAAACAATCAGGATCTTGTTCTTCCTAAACATAACGTTGTGCCCCACCAATAGAGTCGACTTTGCGGATATACTATGATCCAAATTCCAAAACAAGAGTTTATTTTAGTGTCAAGTAACACATGCATCCTCTGTGATTGCAAATACTGGAAAGTGGACTCTAATTGCAGCAGKTGATATACGTTTGAATTTTTCAATGTGGAAAAATCATCATGTAAGTTAACTTTTTTGGGGTTTGATTAGTGTAATTTTGAAGGATAAGAGGATGTATAAGATGTGGAAGGGACCCCATGGATGAGAGAAACTTAATATTACCTCCTGAAAAAGACAATGATTTTCTGATATTATGTTTTTGGTGATTTGTATTTGTAGGCTTTAAGAGTCATTAAGTATGCTGTGGGCAAGTCCGGTGTGGAATTTAGGAGGGAAATGCAAAGGAACTCGGTGGCTGTGCGTCAGCTAATTCACTATAAGGGACAACCGGATCCGTTGAAGGGTGATGCGCTTAATAAGTCTGTTAGGGAAACTGCCCAAGAAGCTTTATCAGCTATATTTGCTGGAGAGGAGAGCAGTAAACCGCCACCAAAAGAAGGTCTTACCCAGCGGATACAAGGTTTTGGTAATACCAACTTTGACATGCCCTCTGATTATAAGAAGTCATTTCTTAGTGAGGTGGTTGGCATTGGAAGTGCAACAATCAAGCAGGGATTGAATAGCTTAACACAAGCTCAAACCCAAAATAAAAATGATACAGGAACTTACAGGAGCCCGAATCTGCGAAGATCATTGACTAACGAAATTAGTTACTCTGATAGCAAAGAACTTCACAGCCAACCTGTGCTTTCTTCTCGGTTATCAGTAAATGCATCCGGATCTTGGGGTCAAGATCTCAAAACCAGTCAGGCAGACTCTGAGAATGGGAGTGCAAGTTCAAGTTTTTCACATGATAAGAGCCGTGAAGAGAGGTTAATAGAGACCATTGTAACATCTGGTGGTGTTCGTCTTCAGCCCACTCGAGATGCCATTCAGACATGCTTGATGGAAGCTTCAAAATTGAATGCACTAGCTTTAAGTCACGCGCTAGAAACCAAGCTCCAATCGCACATGTGGCAGGTATACATGCTCTCGAGTCCCTATATAGTTTGATTGGTAACATGACATTCTTTCAAATTTCACCTGAAGTTTGTTTCTAAAATCATTTCTTTTCTTGCACTTAAATATGTCAAAGGTCATTATTTTCCCTCTTTAACGTGCTCAGGGTGTTTTTCATCTTCCCTAGAAGTACCATGTATGATTTGTCTAATGAATGAATCTTTTTCCTACTCCATAGATTGGCTTGTTTTAATCCTTACAGAGGTAGATATTTTATTCTTGTCACATTGAAATTCTTACTTATCCTGCTTCATTGTTCTTTTGCTGCCAACTTCTGTCAGGTCCGTGTGAAAGCCATGTGTGTGCTTGAGGCAATCTTGAGGAAGAAAGATGATGAACACCTTTTCATCGTCAATTCTTACTTTACTGAAAATATAGATGTTGTGGTAAAATGCTCCGAGTCTCCCCAAGCCTCTTTGAGGGAAAAGGCAAATAAGGTATGCAACAAGCAGTTAGGTTAACAAGTTTCTTTCTTCATGTATTGATGAGTTACTTTTATGCAGCTTTCTTATGCTGAGCTTTTGAAATTGTGGGCTAAGCCCAAATAAGTTGCTGAATTGTCTGATGAGTTATTTGCACTTCATACTAGGTACAGATTAAAGATCGAGAAAAAGGAATATGACCTTCTCTGTGCCAGAAAAATCATGTTGATGCAATAGAATGCCTCCCTTGTTTACAGAACCATTTAGAGCATGCAAAATCATTCTTAACAACTACATTTTCTAAGTTACTGTTAAGATATTTGGCGAGGTCATAAGACTATAGCAGGATATTATGTGATAATCTATATTAGGATACTTGTTAACAATTTACCTGATAATTATTAAAAAAGTTTGCTAGTATATATTTTTATCATCTTATTACCTTATGACTGGTAGTAATTTTATTGTTAGGATACCTGGTAGTAATTTTATTGTTAGGATAAGTATGTAACTTTGTTATATATTTTGTGTTATATAGCGTGATCTCTAAAGATAGATTCTCAGATGGTTCATGGCTGAATAACTTTTTTTGCTAGTTTTCTCTGTGATTATGTGGAACAATTAGATGAGATGCCTTTGTTTATCTTGTTTTTTCTAATCAAAACATGCTGCTTCATCAGCTTCTTAGTGTTTTGGAGCTTACGGGAAGAATATTGTTAACTGTAGCCATCATGAAAATCATAAACCCAAGCAATCATCGTTGTCATCCCAAATTATATTCATCACCGAACATTACCAAAATCATCACATTCACTTGGGGGGCTGGTTGTGGCTGTCAAAGCTAAGTGGATATTGTATTTTTTGGAAGTTTAGGGGTGATCTGCAGTTTGAAAGTTTAGGCACTAATATGCTATTTCCAGAGTTCAGGGGCTGATCGTTATTTAATGAAAGTTAAGTGGCTGATCTGTATTTTTTTTCCTCTATCCAAAGAAAAGTGGCTGATCTATGTTTTCTGATTCAGGGTTGTTCTGTATTTTGTGGAAGTTTAGGAATTTTTCTTGTTTTTATGAAAGTCCAGGGGATATATATTTTCTGGAAGTTCACATGCTGTTCTACAACTTGAAAGTGAGAACGTTAGAACTTAGAGATGGTCTATTATGGTGATCTAATGGTTTTTATATAGGTTGCAAAGTGATTTTAAGATAGGGACGAAAGCTAAAAAGATAAATGTTAGAGAGTAATGAATTAACATTACTCATTTATTTAACCTCCTCCATAAATTGGATCATAGATATCGATCAAGCCAAACTTGCTGCAAATGAAATTTATATGCGTCTTCCCAAAGGGCTTGATTAGAGTGCTTGGAAGTTAATGCTTTGAGTGATTATGAAATCTTTGAATAGATGGATGAGTAGTTCTAGAATACCCATGATTGATTCTTTAAAGATGATAATCAACCTCAATACGTTTGGTCCTCTCATGAAAAACTTGTTTAGTTGGTAGATGGATGGCAAATTGATTATCACGATATAGCCTCATTATGTAGGAGTCCTTAACTCATGTGACAGTCATGCATTCCTTATCATATTTCAGGAGATATCTGCCATAGACTGGGACTCAGATTCAACACTGAATCATGATACTACTTGTTGCCTCTTGCTTTTCCGTGAAACAAGATTCCGACCAACAGAACACAGTAGCCGGTAGTAGACTGTCAAGAAAAGGACATCCTGCCCAATTTGTATAGATAGAATCCTGCAATATTTCTCAATCTCTCTGCAGTAAAAACACTGGTGACCCCTGTTTGAAATACAAGATACATCTTCCAAGAGAGGCCCTGAGGTATCTCAAAATCCAAACTACATCCAAGTGGCAAGTGTAAAGGGAAGGCATGAACCGACATGTGCACTCATTGGAGTAAGATGTCTGGTTGTGGGATAGTCGTATCATTAAGCTTTGCTACCAGTCATCTTGATCTCTATGGATCTTTAAGAAGTTCAGTGTACTCTACTAATAGCTTGCTATTTGGGATAATATGTGAATGTATGGGTTTGCAATGCAATAATCCACACTCAGACAGTAAAATTAGCACATGCTTTTATTGACATAACAGCATTTCCTGTTAGGATCTGGATGCTTTACGTCCTAGAAAGTAGAGAAGACACCCAAGATCATTGAATTGTAAGCGGTTCCTAGTAAAATGTTTCATATCCAGCAAGCCTTGATGATCATCTTATGTCAGAACTATGTCAGCAACATATACTACCAGAATAATATGCCTTCCAGTCTATGTTGTTGCCACTCCTGGATAATCCATACCATAAAAGGATATAGGAGAACCAACCAAACCAGGCTATTAGAGACTACTTGAGACCATACAAGGATTTTTCTTTGACGAGAAACCTTGGTGGCCTCTTGAATAACAAAGTTCGTTACTTATGTCTCCTCAAGAATAATGAAGGTATTCTTAATATCCAGCTGATAGAGAAGTCAGTGATGGATAGCAGCAAGAGCAACAACAGATGGGTGTGAACGCACTACATGCCACAAGGTGTGAACCATCAGGTGGTTAAACAGAGCATATAGCTGATAACAAGTTTTGTTGAATATGAGTTTTGCAACTATTACTGGTTGCTAGTTGCAATTTTGCCTCCTGATTACAACTAGGGTGTAAGAGTTCCAAGATTTAGGGTCCTGCAACAGGTGGTTGCACGCAACTTAGTTGGCGAAAGGTTCTGTTTGGGACACATTGTTGCTAATGGTGTAAGGGTTAACAGTCAAGGGGGTGGCATGGAAAGGGAGAGTGGCTTGTGATGAGGTGAGAAGCAGCGGCAAGAGGGGTGAGCGGCAATGGTGGTGTCTTAATGTCAATTTTCTTTTTATTAGAGAAAACTTTGGGATGATATGCTATAGGGAGTTGTACCAAGGCTTTGATACCATGAACTAGAGCTTAAAACTCATCTATTATTGAGAATAAACCAATCCTTACATAGGTTACAAAGTGGTTTTAAGATAAGGATGACAAAGCTAACAAGGCAAACATAAGAGAGTACTGAATTAACATGACTATCTTAACAAAAAGAGAATGGGACCTTTGTACATACTTCAAACCTTACGCTTGTGCTATATGTAATTCATTCTCTTGCAACCTTGTTATCCATAATAGGTATGATCAATCCTCACACCTCCATCTGTTTTGTATACCATGCTTTGGCTAAATGAAACAGCGGTCATAGTTATACCATGCCTTGGCTAAATAATTTCGTGATGGGACAAGTGATGATTGCAGTGATGTCTTACCTTGAGTAAAGCTTTTGTCTTACCTGGGAAAGTCATGGATGTACCATTTTCATCGCAAGCTTAAGAAAGGAAACATTCTTATAGTTTCGAGTTCGAGAAGCAGGGTCTTTTTGTTTTATTTTCAGCCAAACCAAATAGGCATGTGGAAAATATCATATGGTAACCAATGTTGAGGAAAATACAAGCTTGAACTTGCAAACTAGGAATTCAGAATTGTGATGAATGATGAGGTAGCCAAGGACGTTATTATTGAGAACCAGATTGAGAAGCCAAAAATAGAAGATGATGTTGTCATACCTACAACTAAAGTTGCCAATACGAAAATAATATAGGAGAGAATTTATGCAAATGAAGATGTTAGAGTTGAAGCTTTGGTGGAAGTCAAATAAGAGATTGTGATTTGTGAAGGAAGATAATGTTGTTGATTCTTTTATGGATGAATTTAAGCATATGTGGTTTTTTATTCTACAAGATTTACTTCCGGTGGTAACCTTTTGTAGTGATAACATGAAGTACTTCTAAAAGGAATACTTCGTCTATGCTGAGTGCTAACATGATATTCCTGACGACTTCTAATTTTGGTGTTTCTATTTTAGGATATACTTATGTTACGATCTTAACTCTTAGCTCAAACACTTGTACTCACTTTGGTTTATTAACGAAGAAATGGATGAATTAATATATAGCTACTCTATTGCCTACACGACATGAGACTCAAGGAGGAATGTGGTTCTATGCTACCCCCAGTTGATATAAAGAAAGGAAAGACAAACATGAAGTACTTCTAAAAGGAATACTTCGTCTATCCTATTTCCATTGCCTAAAGAAAGGAAAGACAAACATGTAGGTAAACCTATTATTAGATCTGGCTATGCTATCTTTAGTCACATATCTTGATCACATTTCCTCCGGTCATTATGCCTTTGTTTCATCACATTTCCTCCGGTCATTATGCCTTTGTTTCAGCTATGAATAGTTATAACTTCCTTTATCCAAAAGAAAATAATTATATCATTCTTGGGGACTGTATCCAAATGGTGCAACTAAAATGGAGGTAGGTTAGGCCGAAGGAAATGTCTGCTTGTATGAACAACCCTTGGATCTTGGAAGCAAGTTGATCTTTTTGCTGTATTAAGTAATTGAATGCTTACAACACCTTTCTCACTTAAAACGCTAGACTGGTAGCTAATGGGTACTAAGAAATATATGGTAAAGGTTATGACTTATGATGCAAACAGTTAGTTGGTGTTTGATTAGGACTTAATGGGCTAGATGACGTATTCATAGGCCTTATATGAGTGTTTGAGTGACTTAATCAAGAAGTCACTATGGTTATGCCCCCCCAAGGACAATTTTCTCTATCCTACCCCTCTCATATCATAACACGCTTACGCATAGACTTATGTTTCTTGCATCCGAAAATCTTCACTTCTTTTTTACAGAACACATATCCATGCAAACTTCTTATTGATACAGACCTTATTCATAAAAAAACATGTCTAGTGTCATGGCTAAAGCAACTTGAGTGTCTTTAGTCATTGTTTGAGTTGTTATTCACCAACGAACCATATATGTGTTGGAATGTCAATTGTCAAGAACACATTTCTAAATGCAATTCTTGAGGAGAGTTTTATGGAGTAATTTTCTGGTTTTGTGGTCCGCAAGGGTTTATGAGTTACAAATATCATTATATGACTTAAAGCAAGCCCAGCAAGTTTTGCTAGTATATGTCATACTCTAGAAAAATTCAGGATGGCACAAAGTTCTTGTGACTATTCAGGATCGTTCTAGTGATATATATGTTGCTAACAATGTTACTCCTTGAGATGACTAGGATGGTATTGCAGCATTCGAACTCTTCTTTCAGAAAGAGTTTCAATCAGAGGATCTAGGAAATCTCAAGTACTGCCTAGGTATTCCGTAGATAGATTACACAAATGCATATTTCTATATTGGAGGAAGTATGTCCTTGACATTCAAATTGGTATGCTTGACTATGACTTGTTGATTCACCAATGGTTTCTAATGTAAAGCCTGGGGACATTTGGATGATTTTAGCATATATCAAAGAGTTAGATTTTAATTGGGAAATTGTGCTATCTCATAGTCACTAGGGCTAATATGGTCCTTTGAGTAAAATTTGGTGAGTGGATTATGTCATCCTCATGCATGATTGTGATTTTGTGTTGCATATTTTAGATCCCTCAAGGATGATCAATAAGAGTGCTCTCTATACCGGTCTTTTTTACACCAATAGGGGCATACACAACACTTATAGGACATACATAAGTTATGTGGCATTTTGATGCTAGTCATATATGATATCAATATAGCAGGAGATTTACCACATGATATTATGTCTACTATGAAGGGAACTTCTTATCACGGAAAGGTTATAAACAAGATGTGGTCTTTCTTTCTAGCACAAAGTCCGATTGGCTGAGTATAGAGACAGCACGCCCAAAATGTGTGCTAACTTGGGTATTTCAACTTTGTCAAGAGTTGGGTGTTCCCACCAATGGTTTAGTGGAAAACTGGAAATGCTTGATAATTAAGGTAACATCACTGAAGACCATTTTTTTATGAATGCAACAAGCACATTAAGGTAAATTCATTTTGTTCCACAAGAGGTGGTTGGCATGCCATGAATCACTCTCTATCAAACTAATTTCAAGTACATTCATAAGATCATGTTGCCGATTTCTTGACAAAGTTGCTGCATGGATCACATATTAGCCCTATATGTTCAATGTCTGGATTTTTAAGCCAAAACACACAATGTTCCCAAAAGCTAGGTCAAAAGTATGCACAACACCCAACAACCAAAATGTAGAAACTAAACGTATCAACGATCAAATATACAGCATGTCATGATAACAATAACAAGTAATCAACACAACAAAGCCACAACACAAAGATATATTGAGGTTCCACGGTCTTACAACCGTGTACGTCCTCTTGATGAGTCCTAGATGATGTATATTCAACCAAATGTGTAGATAGGTTACAGCAAAAGCTTACCTAAATGTTTACAATCACCAATTGTGAGCTAGATCACCTATCTACTTAGAATTTGTAGAGGGGAGATCATCCAAATTATTTTCCTTTTTCTTCTTAACCTCACACTCAGCAAATGCAGCCTAAACAACATATTTAACCCATCAGGGGCTGTGTGCGATCATGACTGCAATCATGAAACTTGCCTGGATAGCATGTCACTGTAGCATCAAGGCTATCTGGTTCTTCGTGATCCTGCCAGCTGTTCTGCTTCTGTAAAGATAACGATCGCACTGGCTGTTTGTGGCCTTGGTGTCACATATAACTCACAACAGTACATGTTGGGTATTTCAACATATATGCTCCAACTTGAGATGTATTGGATATAAAAGGAAATTTGTTAGCTTTTAGTTATATTGTTTATCTTTATTGTAAAGATAGAATTATCATTATTTTTTTTACTTTATACGGGAAACATTTAATTGTTCAACAAGTGTTTTTTTAAGAATATCTGTTTGTTTTTCAGAAGGATCAACTAGATTGTGTGGATGCCGTCTAAAAAGAACACCTAGTTTTGTTGCTTATAAGTATCCCTTTGATCTTCTCTAAGTTAAAGAAACTAAAGTAATAAAGCATCTTATTTGGATTGAAATCAATTGAATTAGTCACTCAAAGTGAAGGCAAACATGATGTATTTGGTATCGAAAATAGCTTTATTGCTTGTCTTTTTCTTCTGCATATTTAATTTCCTATTCATAATCAACCGAGGACAGACTTTAACTGAGATTTGGTTGCTCTTACTACTTGGATGTTCAGGTCTTAAGCCTTCTTAATGGAGAACAAAGTGGTAGCAGGATGAGTCAGCCAGACAAAAATTTGAAGACTCAGAAAGTCTGTCAGATGCCAGATTTAATAGACACCAATGATTCATATGGAAATGAAAATTCTGTCGCAATGCAGAGGGATGAAAGCATTGCATCCCTCTCAACATCAACTACCTCTCTGATCAATGATTTCTTTACGGATGGTGCAAGCACTGATGTGCATAATGAAGACCTTACAAATACTGATGATCCTTTTGCTGATGTTGCTTTTCATGGCCAGAACAATAAAGATGAACATGAAGCAACTGATATTTTTTCAGGAATGGCCACTGTTGATAAACCAGGAATTGTAACACCGACCTCAGCTGGTGGAAGTGGACCCGAGCTATTTGATATTTTCGGTTCCAACTCTGAATTTCCTCAAAGCCAAGGAAATTCCAAAAATGATGTTGACGACTTGATGGCTGGCTTGTCTATAAATGGGAATGAATCCTTGCCAAAGCAGAATGGAAACTCCCAAATGGAACAACCTGAAATAATATTTTCAAATTCAACAACGAATTCAATTCATCAGCCAAATGATGCATTGAATAACATATTCAAATCTCAAGCACCAGGGATAGCAGCAAATCCCATGTTCCCTATGGATCCTATGACCTATAATGCTTTATCTTCAGGATTGATGCTTAATCCTACACCATTTGCTTCTCAAACAGTAAACTATGGTGCCATGAGCAGTCTTTTAGCTCAGCAGCAATTTTTATCAGCTATGTCTAACCTGCAACAGATGGGGAACTTGCAATCCCAGAATATAGGTGCAAGCAATGCTTCTGGAACTCAAGTTGCGGAACATACTTCAGCTCTTCCAGATATATTTAATCCAAGCATTGCGACTCAAACGCCAATGATGAATAACTCGAAGAAAGAGGATACTAGAGCATTTGATTTCATATCAGTAAGCTCTTGCTCTCTCTTAGTTTGTATACTCTTGCAAATTTGTTGGTATTGAGACCTAAAATCAAGCACAGGCCAATTTTAATGGAAACTCTTTGCATGCTCTTACGAAGAAGTGGAAAAAGAACTGTGATGGTGTTGGGGCACGGGTGCGGGTGGGGAAGGAATCTCTATTCTGTTTATCTACCAATCCTGAGACCATCCCTGTTGCCACATTCTAATTTACATATGGGGAGTTCTATTGAAACTGAAAAAGATAAAGACACCTTAGAAATTCTTCAATAATCTTTTAGAATCATTCACTTATAAAATCGTTAGAATTATATTTCTTACTCATACTAACCATGCTTGTGAGTATTTTGCTTTTCACTTGTAGGAACCATCACCACTTACAGTATTTTGATCTCTCCTTTTAGCTTAAAAAAGATTTTACTGCAGTAGGTTGATGGTTACAAATAGATATTGGCATGCAATTATTTACTGGCACTAGAAAATAAAATTTCCTTTGTTGCCATGACTCTAATTGTGAATCTTCCCTGCATAAGAAACAAAACACCATTCACTATCTTTGTTTTCATTTTCTGATGATTTTTTCCTTCATGAATTCCCCACCTTTTCATCTTCTACCTGTCACTATTAGCTTCTATGTGGACTTCCTTGCTGCATCTTCACTGTTATCATGTGCATCACTTTATAGTCTCTTTGATAGTACCTCTTGAAACTTGCAGTTATACTGTTTGTCATGTATCCAATAATACAAGACATATGGCCAAGCCCATCCCATTCAGGAGAAACTGGTTCCTTATAGTAATTTTAGGGAACTAATGTTTTTTTCCATTAGATATCCTTTGTTGAATGGCCATTAAATATCTACCAACTACAATACTGTGTTCAGCTTATATTACATATTTGGTTTCACTGATCTCTGTTCCTGCTATCATCTTGAGATGGTCGAGCATTAAATGACTTGGAATGTTACAGTAAGCGTAATCATGTATGTCTAGGCCTACTATTGAAGTCAATTTCGGTTGAAGTCTTCGGTTCTTGGTTAGTTTTATAGTTGATTGGGGGTTATATTTACTCAACTTGGTTATTATCCTGCTATATTCCCTTTAAATATTATATGAGGATTAAAGGTTAAAGTTAATAAATTTGTCTGGAATCTAGACTGCCGTTGCTCAGATTACAGAAGGGGGTGATTTTTAACCAAAGAACCGAGTTTGTCAGACTCTTTTAACTACCAAATAACATATCCAATGCAGAAAGGCAAATGGTGCACATGTTTATGCCAAGTCATAAAAAAATTCTGAACCTGATACAATCCCAATGCCTCTTAGCTTAATGTGCTGCCTTTATGATCCAATAGAACAGATTGAGAACTCCAGAAAAAGGATACCTGATCAATCCTTAGTTCTGTTTGCGCAAATTTCGGAAGTGCATCTCCACGATATGTGATACAGTAGAATATTTTGAGATTAAGAATGACTAACTTAACTTGAAAAGAGCGTGAAGCCTTTACAAAGTCGTGCATTTAATTTGTCGTGTTTTATGATTGCTGTGTCCCTAATTTGGTTGAGTTTTTGCAGGATCATATTGCTGCAGCTAGGAGGGTAAACTAAAGATGTGTGAATGGATTAAAAAAAATTGTTGGTTGTTATGTTAGTAGATATTATTTATTTACAAGAATAATAAATAATAAGAATAATAATAATAATTTACATGCATGTGTGTGTGTGTGTGTGTGTGTGTGTGTGTATCAGGCAAAGAACTCCATGTGTTAAGAGTAGTAGTAGAAGAGCAAGGTGAATGTTTCAAGTTGAGCTTGTTTTTTCTTATCACAATTCATAGTTGTTAAGTTTTTACCCTTTCATCAAGTCAGGTGTGTATTTGTACATCTTAAATTATTACCCTAGGAAACAAAATGCAGCAATAACAAGGTCCAGTTTGTGGCTATGCTGCCACCAAATCCCAACGGTGGAAGTTTATCGAGCTTTGTTGTATAAAAATATTATTTATATACTTTCCAGGAAAAAAGAAATACAAGGGGTAGACACAGACACTTACTTACCACGCTCCTTCAGAAGGCAATGTTAAGGCTTGTGGACTCGAAGGAGAATTAGTAGTTGTAGTCGATAGAAGCATGATGAGCTTTCATAATTTTTCACTTGTAACTTGGATATTGCTTATTTTTTTATGTTGAAATTATTTGGTGATTTATTGACGCAGCATTGAGGAGTTGGTGTTTTTCAAATTATTCAACAAGTAACCAAAGTTTTTCATGATGTAGATTTCGGAAAAAATAAGTAACTTCAAAGAAAATGTCGATTCGAGTTGCAAGAGAAAGGTTATGACCTTCTGAAAATGTTAATATATTTTCATCTACAAGTTAATAAATACTTGAAAACCATTTACATTTTCATCTTCAAGTTAATACTTGAAAACCATTTACATTTTCATCTACAAGTTAATTCTTGAAAACCACTTACATTTTCATCTACAAGTTAATAAATACTTGAAAACCATTTACATTTTCATCTACAAGTTAATACTTGAAAACCATTAAGGGGTTGATTGGTTGGTTTTCTATCCACTCTTGTGTGGATAAAACTGTCTGTATGGATTAAGAAGTTGTTTGTGTGTACCCCCCCCCCCCCCCCCCCTAATCAGTAAGCCACTACCAACTGTCATGTATAGTTGACTGAATTAGTTGGGAGTCTCAATTAAGCTCATTAAGTTGCTAATAAACAGGCCCTAGGGGTTGTTTGGCAAATAATAGATGATTTAGGGGGTTGTTTGGCATATACCAGATGATTTAGGGGGCAATTTGGTAGATAATGGATGATTTAGTGTAAAATGATTAGGGTTGTTTGGCAAATACTTGATGATTTAGGGGGTTGTTTGGCAGATACCAGATGATTTAGGGGGCAGTTTGGTAGATAATGGATGATTTAGTGTAAAATGATTAGGTGGTCAATAACGGTTAAGAGAATTTGTATAATTTAGTGTCAGATAGAAAATTATTGTTCCAAAATTGTTCTAAATCAATAGTTTGAATGACATAACATTACCATTTTATCCTTAGTCTTGTATTGAATGAAAATTAACGTTTGATAAAAAAAATCTGAATGAAATTTCTAAATGAAAAATAGAAAATAATTAATGGTCCAAGCCAATACATGATATCATATCAATCCAAACAAGCATAACAATAGTTGTTCAAGTTTTGGCATAATAAAACATCACATAAATTGCAAGTTCAAACACAATATTTTTTGTACAATATCTAATTTGAAGCATTTAATATTAATTGATTTGCAACCTTACTACGGGAATTAATCATGTCATTATCTTGGGGACCCTAAGACGTTGCATCCATCTCTTCTTCCTCACCTCCCTCAATTTGTTATTGTGCTTCATTAATGAACATAGGGTTATTATCAGAGGATTCAATAAAAAGCATGTTCGATAACATTTTTGAGTTATGCATGGACATTATTGTAACATCTCGCTTGAGCAAACCCCAAATTACCAATTCCTATAAGATCTCCAATAAAATATAATTTATTGATTATTGGGATCAAAATTGATCCTAAATTATTCTAAAAGTTTTGTCAAAGCCATCTAGACCAATGATGGAAAATCTGAAAATGCTGCTAAAAAGACTAAGTCTGGAGGAAGACCAGAGGCAATGGTCCAGAGGTTGTTGAAATGGCTAAGTCTGGAAGAAGACCAGAGGCCATGAAGGACCCGAGGCCATGAAGGACCCGAGGCCATGAAGGACCAGAGGCCATGAAGGACCAACCCTTTGAAACCCACAGATATGGGCATAACATTAATTAACCTCAAAATATGGGATATTAATTTCTAGAAAAACATCGAAATATCCGTTCTATTTTAGTGATAAAACCACCCAAAACACAATTCCAAATCGGATATAACGGATTTTTACTTACAACCCAAATTATGTAACCAAAAGAATACGAGACACGACTATATATATAAGCTACTATTTACCCAAAAGCAAGATCGATATCTTCAAGTTCCCCGATAAATCTTCAAGTCAGACAACGGGTTCTTTCTATTTATCCGTCTTCTTTCCTGAAAAAGGTTGCCAATTAAATGGTAAGCCAACGCTTAGTGAGTTAAATAGTTAAGCATTACATATCAATATCGCATATGATTATAAACATACATAATAAACTCTTATCAATAAAAGAGTTTAAGACATCATCCAGATATAAACCGAGACTTACAAGAAACCGAGTGAACCATTACGTACCGGATGCCAAGATCATAGGACTCCATATTCAAATCACCATATTATACCATACCATTGTTGCTCAATACAACAAGGAGACAGGATCAACGACCAAATATATTCAACAACGTTAGAATATCAATAAATATCAAGAACCAAGAGATCGAATCGGTATACATAACGAAGACAGTGCATCACCCCGTCCTTCACCTCGGGCTCATGCCAAAGTCCGAGTCAGAATCATACATTACGGGAAACCTCGCACTGCCCGCCTTCCTCTACCGGGTATGTGCCAAGGTTCCCTACTCATTGCTCTTCCTCCTTTCTGAGCAATGAGTATTCACAACCGCAGAAAGTCTCACCCGTCCAACCCGGGATCTTGACTTCGCCATAAACTTCCGGCGTGCCACACGAAGTAGTACCCGTACTATGGCGTACAATTCAAGGAACAAAACAACGAGTCCGGATCCAGAAAGCAAACCGATGTATCGAGATAGTAATAAGGAATCAACTCAAGAGACGGAATCAAAGACAGATCAAGATCGTGTGACTCCATTCAAGAACAAAAACATTCATATGAAAATATATATATGTTCAAATCAATATGTAACAATTAACTTATAACTCACCGGGAAACCGTATAATACCGAAAAGCTCCGAATTGAGATCACAAAGCAAGTCCAATCTACCACACTTAGATTGCTTCCAAAGTATCAAAACATGTCTTAATTACC